CTTGATCTTTAAGACCTCTTATGAGCACATACCTCAAATTTGAAGAGAAATAATATCATTCCTTATACTTCTTCTTAACACTTGTATGGAAAAACATGTGTTTGTGTCGCCTTTCTTAAGCCGCCTAATCCTAGATATTTGGGCCAACTAAGAGTTTTTATGTATAAGTAAGGACTATAGGCTAGAACTGTAACTTGATTGTGAATCATTATCAACCTGAGAAAGACCTCATTGATCCACAAGTAAGTTCAGGGTTCTTATCTCCTTTTTAAGCACCTTAATCTTTAAATTTAAATTTCTAAAAAAATATTAACTTAAAGTTTTAGGGTGCCTTTAAGGAATTTAAATTTTCAGTTAAGTTCATAGTCCTTTAAACCAGATGTACTAGAAGACTCCCAACAAGCCAACACCACCTCCAAAACTCTAATATTTCATATTTCTAAGGGAAAAAGTCCAATCACATAAGATATTAACCCAAAATTAAATGAACCAAAAATCAATAACAAAATTGAGTTGTGTCTGTTACAAGGGAGAAACCCAAGCGAGTTTGAAGAGATAAACTCTCTCACCTTATTATTATTAATAGAACTACTAAGCTCATACATCAAAAGAAGCTCTTGATAATATGATTTTGATGATGACAACTAAAAGGAGTATTTAACAATGCAAAGCGATTAAAGATGCAAATAGACAAGTTATGGTTTGATGGTCATTGCAAACATCTTCTGATGATGGTACTTAATCTGATTAAATCAAAAACCTTATCTACAAGGAAGATTCAAGCAAGTGCCCATATGATTAGTTACTTGACAATACTTGAAGCTTTCAAAGTGGGAAAGAGAGGAAGCTTGAAATCCCGCCCTTCTCCATCTGAGTGAACCGTAGTTTGTAAAAACACAAAGGCCTTTTTTCGTAAAGTTATACGACTAAATCAAACACATAAACACACACACACACACACACACACACACACACACACAAACATACACACTAAAACAAGTTTTTAAGGCTCTATATCTTAAGAAAATATACCTACAAATGTTTTGGACACATGCGAGTTGAATCAGGAACTGCCCAAATGATTGAATCTCATACCCAATTGATTGGGTTAGTGAAAAAATTGTTCTTAACATTTTGGACAAATTATTAATGAATGACAACGACTTTGGGTATTTTCTTATCCTTTTAACTTTTCTAATCGTATTTTTAGGCCATCCAATCTATTGGAGAAAAATTCCAATCGTTTGAATCATAAATTTTGGCCTAAGAAAAATTCCTTTTTAGAACTATCCTCTAGCCTATAAATAGAGACTCTCCCTTCATATTTTTGTACCACCCTCTAGCCTATAAATAGAGGTATCTTGTATAGGGGTATAATTGTAAATTCACTATGGAATATTTTTATCTTGGTTGAATAATTTATTAATTAGAAGTTTTTTGTTTGGCCTCAAAACTAAGCCATTTAAAAGCTTTGGTTTAAGAATTTAGGCTCTAAGTCTCCTCTTTGGTTTGGTTTAAGATATGCCTGGTTTAAAACCTTAGTGGTTCATGGTCAGCCTATCCAAAACCTCAGTTCAGTTCGTAAGTTCATCATGGTTTAACAACTTACCTTTGTTTGAGATAAGCTCATTTAAAATATTGGTTTAGCTTGTTGACTAACCATTTCAAGTTGTGTTTGGAAAGGAGACTAACCGTTTCAATCCGCCGTTTGGATGGAAGATTAACCGCTTCTCTCCGCTATTCATTGTATGGTTAAAATTTAGCCCAAAACTTAATTTCTTCCAGTATCAGGGAGATTCAATAGTTCAACATACTAAAAGCTCTTAAGAATTACTAGATACTCTCAAGAACAAAACTTATGGATAAGATTAGGTTATTTCTTTTCAACCAAAGCTCTATATTTTTAAGTATCTTTTATGTTTTCATTAAACTTTTTATTTTCAACGACTAATTTATAATAAGCTTTTAAATATATTTTTAAACTCTGAAAAATAATTATAATTTTTTTCAAACTACAACTTTTATGAAACCCACAATTCACCCCTCTCTTATTTGTGGAGTCACATGTCCAATAGTCCGGAGAACCTAACCATCTTAAAGAGATGATCTCTAACCTCCAAAGAATATAACCTATCAATTTGCTACTCATTACTAGATTTAAAGGTATAACCTAACTCTTTAGTCAATATTAACATCTTAGCATCTTTTATTTCATCCAAGACATGCATTAAAATCCCATAAGTAATAGATGTTGACCAAGTGACTCCAAACATAAAAAAAGGGGAGAGGAGGGAGGGAATGAATTGTGATATTTGAACTTCTAAAATAATCCTTTGTATGAACTTTGACTTTTAAAAACGTTTATGTTAGAAGATATAAGAAGGAAGAGAAGAAGTGGTGGAATAAAATAAATATCTAAAAAATGAAAGAGATAAGGGATAAAAAGATCAGACTAGATAATCATCTCAGTTTAGATTAAACCACTTTGCCTACTCCACTCCCCAAGAATTTTCCCTTGAGATTTATATTAAAATATACTGAGCTTTTCACAAGCTCAACCCAAACAACCTTTCACAACAACTTAAGCTTCTATCTAGGATCACTCCAAAACCTTACAACAATAAATAGAGATTTTACAAGGGATCAAATCAATAACATTCACACAAGTCGTTTTTCCAGGTTTAGTTTGAAAAATTCAAATATATAGTGTTATATTTGTGAGAGTCCAACATATGAGCGACACTAGAGTCCCTGCCTATTTAAGACATTGCCCGGGCACTACCTTTATGAGGTATGAGACATCGCCTTTGGAGAATATGACGTGGATAATGTTGTTAAGTTCCCACCAGGCCCCTATAAAAATTCCTTTCCGAAAAGGAGGAAGACATATCATAATTTAAACATTACACATATCGCAGAGCCTCTCACCTCACATGAGCTAACCTCTCTTACCACCGTAAACTCCATGACATAACCACATAGAGCTTGTCGCCGCCGCGGGAAAGCCCTAACTATTATAAACCTAATAAGCACTCTGAATACCTCATACCCTTGTAGGGATACCATACACACTTGTACTTTCTGACTAGTATAAATTCTATTGTAAATATATTACAAGAGAGCTATGCACTTGAATAAATATTTTCAGCATAACACCAAAACAACAACTCGTAGATGAAACTTTTCACTCTCTTGACACTAAGGAAACTTTAGTGAAAAATAAATTTATAAAAGAATGAGAGAAAGAATTTTAAAGTAAGGTTTCTATTCAAAAAAGTGGTGTAATTTTAAATATGGTGAAGTCTCCTTTATATATAAAATTTTTTGGCTAAAAAAGAAAATAATTCATGGTCCATTTGAATGAGTTAATTGATTAAACCTATATATTAATCAATTAACCAAGTTAAATTAGAAAAGTTTAAAATGTTATGTCACTTAATCGATTAGGCATTACACTTTGGTTCAATTGATTAAAAAGATTTCTTAATCGATTAGACAATGTATTTTTGTTAACAATTGATTAAACAAGCTTCGAATCAATTGAGCACTTTTGCAAAATGATTTTAAAAAGATTTATCAAAAGAGAAGAGGTTCGAAAAGATTTTTTTTTATGTCTGTGTGCATTGTCTTAGTGCTTTACTCTTAATCTTTTTACAATTAAACTGATCAGAATTAGGAAAAAGCTTAAGCACAAGACCAAGACCAGAAGAGATTTTACACTTTCATAACTTTTGCGGACTTAAAGAATTCACTTCTTCAAGACTTCAGTTTTTCATATTGTAACTTCAAGATTTTTTGCTTGATTCAGTATTATCTAGCACTTTCAACTTAATCTTGATATATTTGAGCGATCTGAATCTTTTGACAGATGTCGTCAACACAACCGTTTGACAACTGTCACCAACATTTGAGAGTTGATATCAACACAACCCTCTAGCATTTGTCATAATCAAAACCAACATGTTTTGATGTTATTATCTGCACAAAACATAGAACCACATTCTCCCTCTTTTTTGATGATGATAATGCATAAAATTACATTCTTCCTTTTTTGATGATGACAACAATATTACCTTCACCCAAACTTTTTTTAAGTTTAGCTTACAATTTTCAAATCTATTACAAAAATATTACAATAGTATTATGCTCTTGAATAAATACTTTCAGCATAACATTAATACAACAACTTTCTTACATGACTTTTTGCCATTAAGACAACTTTAGTAAAAAATTATATTTATAAAACAATGAGAGAAAAAATGTTAAAAGAAAATTTCTATTAAAAAAATTTGATGTAAGACTAAAAATTAATTATGTCCATCAATTTATCTATAATAGATATCACCTTGAAAAATGAACTTATTTCAAAATTTTCAAAAATATTGAGATTCAAAAAATGAGTTGTTACCTAGCTTTCTTTCTCTCTTAGAAAAGAAGAAACTACAAGTAAAACATTATGCATATATAGAAGAGAAAGTGCCCCCACCTCCCACTTACAAATACCAAAAACTTTTATACTAAAAATTTAAAGAATGAAAGAGAAAGAGAAAGAGAAAGAGAGAGAGAAAGAAGGCAAAGCTAAGTTGCCTTTGATACTGGTGTAATAGTCCTGCTTGTCAGCACATGCAATCCACTTTCTACAACAAAATCCACTTTGGACCCCAAATTTATTACCTCACCCACAAGAAAAGCACAACACTCACATCTTCCATAAATTTCACACCCCTTACTTCCTCTATACCTCCTCTCCTCTTTCTCTCTTACTACCATCTATTTCATCCTTCCATATTAACAAGTTTCATTCAAAAACACCTAGTGATCATTCATCAATCCTTCACCCTTTTATATATTATCATCATATCAAAACCTAGCTTCCAAGTTTCATCCAAAAATGAACACCTTAACCCTACAAAAGTTCAAACTCACTCACTATTGAATTCTAGCTTCTCTTCTTTTTATTCTTTTTACTTACCTTATAGAAAGTTGATAATATCCTAAAGATGAGAACAGGAAATTGTTCTTTGCAACAAGGCCTAACTACAGATGCTGCAAACATAGTCAAGCAAGCGATAACCCTAGCAAAGCGTCGCGGCCATGCTCAAGTAACACCTCTCCATGTAGCAAACACCATGCTTAGTGTTACTAATGGTTTATTAAGAACAGCTTGTCTTCAATCTCACTCTCACCCTCTTCAATGTAAAGCTTTAGAGCTTTGCTTCAACGTCGCACTCAATCGCTTGCCAGCCACGAATTCTAGCCCTATGTTAGGTTCTCATCATTCTCAATCTCAGTATCCTTCTTTCGCAAATGCTTTGGTTGCTGCCTTTAAGCGCGCTCAAGCTCATCAACGTCGCGGATCGATTGAGAATCAACAACAACCGCTTTTGACGGTGAAGATTGAGCTTGAACAACTCATTATTTCAATTCTCGATGATCCTAGTGTTAGTAGGGTTATGAGAGAAGCAGGGTTTAATAGTACTCAAGTGAAAACCAATGTTGAACAAGCTGTTTCGTTGGAAAACACTTCTTCTATAAAGGAAAATAATAATCAAACTCTTTCTTCTCAATCTCAAGAGAAAGTTGCCAACAAAGCATTGGTTTCGGATTCAACTAGGGTTGAGGATATCAACAGTGTTGTTGATAACTTAAAGATGAATCAAAGAAAAAGTGTTGTTGTTGTTGGAGAGTGTGTGACTAATCTTGAAGGTGTAGTTAAAGGAGTGATGGAAAAATTTGATAAAGGAGAAGTTGATGAGTCACTTAAAGGTGTTAAGTTTATCTCACTTTCTCTTTGTGATTTTGGCAATGTTTCAAGGGTAGAAGTTGAAGAAAAAGTGGAAGAGCTTAAGGGACTTGCAAAAAAGAATTTTCATGGAAAAGGGTATGTTTTGTATCTTGGAGATCTTAGATATTTGTTTGATTATAAAAAGCAACAAGGGATTAGAGGCTATTATTCTTCTATTGATCACATGATAATGGAGATTGGAAAACTTGTTAATGGTGTTGGAGAAAATGGAAAGTTTTGGTTGATGTGTATTGCTACTTTTCAAGCTTACATGAGATGCAAAAATGGACAACCATCACTTGAAACTATTTGGAATCTTCATCCTATCACTATTCCTGCAGGAACCTTGAAATTCAGTCTCATCACTAACAGGTAAAATTAACATGCAAATTTATTAGTTAAATCAACTCAGGTAGCCGAACATGAACATCAGCAGAAAAAATTAACATGCAAATTGGTAAAGTTTGATATAATTGATTGTTACTATGCTATGTGGCTTTAACTGCATCTTTACTTTTATTTGAAAAACTGTTTCCTTATGAATGATTATTTATCTCAAAATGAACATTGGGAAAGGGATAAATAATGGAATTGTCTTTTGCTTCTTATAGGTTAAAATTTCAACAACAAAAAATAGCAAGCAAAAGAAGGAAAAAACTCTTTAATTTTTTCTCTTCTTTTCTATATATCAGAAATGACAAAAGATATTACAAGTTTTTGCACTGAAACCAAAGACATGTCAGTCATTATAATTTTGCTTTTTTGATTGATTACACCTAAACTAGGAAAGAGGCTTTTCTTTTTCAATATTTACTTAAATATTTTTTAAAAATAATTATTTATTTTATTTTATTTATTAAGTAAATGAAGCAAGTAATTAATAATCTTATGATATAATATTTTCTTTTTGTTCTCAGTGGTTTAGAAAATGAGTCAAGTAATGAAAAAGCTGAGAATAGAACAAGCTGGCTATTGCATGAAAGAGTAGGAGATGATCAACAGATAATTCAAAAACAACAAGAAACTGCTTTTTTTGCAGAACCTTCAACAAAAAATGAGAGTGAAGTTAGAAGGAGCTTGCAGAGAATGAATTCCTGTAAAAGTGATTCTTCAAGTTCAAGTCTTCCTGCATGGCTACAACAATACAAAAATGAGAATAAAGGAATCATCTACAATGATCAGGTTTTGTTATTATCTTATCTCTATCATTTTTACATTACATACCAATTATTTTGGTCGGTATAGATGTTACAATACTGATTGCAGTAGTCGTGTCGTATGAGTTAACCACAATTTCTTTTATATTATAAAATTTGTGAATAATAATATCGACATTGGCACTTTCCGATATCATTTTCTCGTGGCCATTTTCGTGGCAACCGACCGTTTCCTAGAATCTTGATCAAGATATTTATAAAAATTTGTGATTAATTAAAATAAATAATAATTTTTGTTGTGTATTCTAGGAGAACTGTGTTCAAGTGGGAGAGCTTTGCAAAAAGTGGAACAACTCTATGTGTGGTTCAATCCAAAAACAAACTTATCATTTTGATGATAAAATCCTCACATTATCTTCAGCATCCCCTTCTTCATCCACTTCAGGTTTCTCCTATGAGCAACAGCAATATCCTAACGTGTCACAAAGAGACCGCGAGCTCGATCGCGATCGCCATTTTTGGATCTCTCAAGGTGGAAGCAAGTTCAATGAACCTTCTAACCCTAATTCAACTTCTTCTAGTGAGCTAATGGAAATGGAGCAACTAAACAAGTTCAAAGAACTCAATTTAGAGAACATGAGAACCCTATGCAATGCTTTGGAGAAAAAGGTTCCATGGCAAAAAGATATAATACCGGAAATCACGAGCACGGTTTTGCAATGTCGATCCGGTTTGATAAAAAGAAAAGGAAACATGAGAAACATTTATCATGATCCTAAAGAAGAAACATGGTTGTTTTTCCAAGGTCTTGATTTGGAAGGTAAAGAGAAAATAGCAAAAGAATTGGCTAAGCTTGTGTTTGGATCTTACAACAATTTCACTTCAATATCACTTAGTAGTTTTGCTTCAACAAGAGGTGAATCAAGTGATGAAAGTAGAAACAAAAGATCAAGAGATGAAGCAAGTTGTAGCTTCATTGAGAGATTTGGTGATGCAATGTCTAATAATCCTCATAGGGTTTTTCTAGTTGAAGATATAGAGCAAGTTGATTATTGTTCACAAGTTGGTTTCAAAAGGGCTATTGAAAAAGGAAGAGTTTTGGATTCAAATGGTGAAGAGGTTGGTTTTTGTGATGCTATTATTATTCTAAGTTGTGAAAGTTTTACTTCAAGATCAAGAGTTTGTTCTCCTATACAAAGATCCTCTCAAGAAGACAAAGATGATGATGATGATGTTAATGTTGTTGCTTTGGAAGAGACAAGTTCTTATGTTTCTTTGGATTTGAATATTTCTATTGATGATAATTATGAGGAAGATGATAGGTCAGTGGATGAAATTGGGTTGCTTGAATCTGTAGACAGAAATATTCTCTTCAAAATTCAGGAATTGTGAAGAATTGTTTTTAATGAACACAATCTTTTTTTCTTCCTTTTTCTAGTTAGGAATTTCTTAATTCCCTATGTTTTTCATTATGTCTTTGTATTTCCTAGCCATTAATTTTGTTCGTTTTAATTTTATTATGTAACTAGATATGTATATTAGAAGGTATATCAACTATCTCTTTTATAGGAGTATGGAATTTTCTATCAAATAATTTTTTAGCATTTTTTTTAGAAAATATATTTTTTAAAATAAAAACTATTATCTTATTTTCCTTTTACTCTTAACCTTTAAATATTTATGTAAAATAAAGGAATGACTTGCCTTTTCTCATATATATATATATATATATATATATATATATATATATATATATATATATATATATATATATATATATATATATATATATATATATATATATATATATATATATATATATATATATATATATATATATATATATATATATATATATATATATATATATATATATATATATATATATATATATATATATATATATATATATATATATATATATATATATATATATATATATATATATATATATATATATATATATATATATATATATATATATATCATTTGATCAACTGTCTAATTATGATACACCATGATTATTATGGACAAAATATTCTAATTACAATAAATTAATTATGACTAATTATAACAATGATATTCTATTCTATCACACCCTATCACAATCAAAGTAGTAAGATCACAAAGGCTTATACTAAGGCGAAAATCATCAAAGAGAATGCGAGGAACCTCTTTGGTGAAGACGTTTGCAATCTGATGTCGAAAGGGAACATGAAGAACATGTGTCTGACCACGAGCTACTTTTTTCCATACAAAATGAATGTCCATCTCAATATGCTTAGTAAACTGATTTTGCACAAGATTACTAGAGAGATAAATGGTACTAACATTGTCACAATACACCAAAGTGGCCCGAGAATAAGAAAATAGAGCTCCAAAAGAAGATTATGAATCCAACACGACCCAAACAAAACATTAGCAACACCTTTATATTCGACTTTAGCACTAGAATGTGAGAGATTGGACTTCCTTTTGGAATACCAAGAATAAGGTTGTCACTCAGAAAGACACAGTAGGCAGATGTGGAACTTCTGGTTTCTAGACATCCACCCCAATCAGCGTCAACGTAGGAGATAACCTGTGTAATGGGGGATGGTGATAAATGTAATCCAAGATGTATTATACCCTGAACGTAACATAGAATGCGCTTGAAACTAATCACGTGTTTCGTGTGAGGTGCATGCACGTGAAGACAAACTTGTTGAACTGCATATGATATGTTAGGTTGAGTGAAAGTGAGATACTATAAAGCCCCTACAAAACTCCTATATAGAGAGGAGCCCTTATAAGCCATGCCAAAGGAGGTGCTAAGTTTATGCTTGTTGTCAACAAGAGTGGCAGAGGATTTGCAGAACGCCATGCCAACACGTTCGATGATTTTTGAGGCATAAGTGCTTTGATTAAGAAAGATGCCACTAGGATGGCAAGATACAACAATAACCAAAAAATAAATGAGGGGATCCAAGTCCTTCACCATAAAATCAGATGCTAAAAGTGGCATAATTGATTTGTGAAGGGCATGAGTAGAGGTGATAAGGATGATGTCATATACATATAGAAGAATGTAGGTCATGTCGTAACTTTTTCGATATATGAAGAGAGAATGGTCTGATGTGCTATGGTGGAAACAATGGTGGCGATATAATCAACAAAGCATTGGTACCATGCTCTACGTGCTTTCTTGAGACCATAAAGGGACTTCTTTAGACGACTGACATAATTTGGATAATGAGGGTCGTGGAAACCCAATTGATGATGCATGTAAACAATCTCATGGAGATAACCATGTAAAAAAGCATTATGTACACCCAGTTGACGAACATGTCAGGATTTTAATAGAGCAATGGTGAGCACTGTACGAATGGTAGCTGGTTTCACCATGGGGCTGAAAGTTTTATCACAATCCACACATGTAACCTGTGACCTGCCATCACCTATAAGACAAGCCTTATAACACTCAAAGGAGCCTTCCAAATTTTTCTTATGCCTAAAAATCCAAATAGATCAAATAATATTAGCATCACAAGGATGAGGAACTAAATCCCACATCTTATTTCTAATAAGAGCATCAAATTCAGATTGCATTAAAAATTTCCAATTCGAGTTGGATAAGGCTAGTTTGGAGGGTTTTTAGGTAAGGGAGAAATGGTTTGATCAGGTTGAGAGACTGATATGGTAAATATCTTGTAGGGTTTAATAATTCCTTTCATGCTACGAGTGGCGATGGTTCGTATAGATGGAGGTGGATGGGGTTGGGTTGGTGGTGGTGAGGGGGATGAGGTTGTAATGGACGAGTTGATTGGGGATTTATGAGATAGTGATTGTTGGTTTCGAGGCGAGGGTAGCTAGTTAGTTATGGTTGCTGGTGTTGGTTGGGTATGTGCAACTGGTGGTGATATTTTATTTTTCCATTGATGCACCAGGTAAGGGTGTAAGTCATCATTTAGGAAGTTAAAAGAGTTAGAGGAAGAAGAGTGAATCTTGGTAAAGGGAAATTAAGTTTCATCAAAGATAACATGTCTCAAAATTATTAATTTTCTGTTTGAAATATCATAACACTTACAACCTCTATGATTCAACGGATAATCCAAGAAGACACACAGAGTAACACTAGGCCAAAAAAGAATTTAGGCAACACCTTTTTTTGACCTTAAGACAGCGTTTTCTATTAAAAGAGCTGGTTTAAGTGCACTTTAAGCAACATTTTCTGTTAAAAGCGCTGGCTTAAGTGCACTTTAGGCAACACGTTCTGTTAAAAGCGATGGCTTGCGTGCTCTTTAGGTATTGTTTTATCTTAGAAGCGCTGACTTAAGTGCTCTTTAGACAACACATTTTGTTAAAAGAGCTAGCTTAAGTGCTATTTAGGCAGTGTTTTTTTGTTAAAACAGCTGGGTTAAGTTCACTTTACAACACTGTCTATTAAAAGCGCTGACTTAAGTGCTCTTTAGACAATGCTTTCTATTAAAAATGCTGACATAAGTGCTATTTAGACAACACTTTCTATGAAAAGCGCTGGGTTAAGTTCTCCTTAGAAAGCACTTTCTATTAAAAGCACATGCTTAACTGTACTTTACACGTCACTTTTATTGATAAATGCTGGCTCATATCATCTTTGTGCAAGAACTTTTTTTCCATGAAATAAACCCTAAAATTCCTAATTCAATCATGTATTCACTCAAATCTTCTATAACTTCATTCAGTTTAAATTACGAGTAAATAAAATACTCGAAGTCATCAAAGTACTATATAATTATCCAATAATTTAGATACAAAGTAGCGAAGACCTTGAATTTCCACCATATTCAAGAATACAAAGTAAATCATGAACTAATACCGTTGTAGTTGTGTAGTGAAGAGGTTTTTATAGAGGTATATAAATTTGTTTCTTCCTTTCATTCTTCATTTAAGCATAATCATTGATACCGACTAGGGAGTAATCGAGTGTAACACATGTTTTTAGATTTGTATGTTTTGTTGGTGTTAATGTGATAGCAATGACAATATAGTATATCATTCACCTATGTGAATGTGTCCTTGTGCCGCATTGAGAGCACAATAATAAAATGTTTGGTGATTTGAAGAAGAATCTAATCAACCAAAGACTTAAATAATTTATTCAACATGGGAAACCTAAAGATATTCTTCCTTCTTTAATTAAAACTTATGTACTCATACACTTAGTATTTGAGTTTAATTTCTTATATATGTTTAATAAGCTAGGTTATGTTGATGGTTAAAGGAGGTATAAGGTTAGTTTATTAATGAATGTAAAATTGTTAGATTTATGCACATTGTAATATTGTATCACTTCTTTTATAACAGTTTCACTATTTAATTTTAATGGATATAATTGCAAAAATTCAAGAGATATATTATTGCATCAACCATGCCCTTGTGAGTCTCTATGACCATGCACGTTTAAATGGTCGCAACTATGCAACTTTGGCCCACACGTTGTTGGAGAAATAAACTATCTCTATTAGGATTTAGGATCAAAGAAGCAACTATTTAACATATACATATAACTATTTCAAAAGTAGCTTGCTTGCATTGGAGAATGTTATAGTATTGATATTTACTAATGTTTCTACATCTGGCTAAAACATCTTTGTTAAAGAGAAAAATTCGAAATACTAAAAACATACATTCGTGTTCCTATATGAACACAATCCACCAACTTATTTCAATATTAAATCTCAATTACACACCCAAGACTTGTTGTAGTTATTTGTAACCAAATCTAGACTTCTACAAAAATCCTGCATCATTTTTATATATCAAATTAAAAAAAAAAAAATCATTGCAAGCACATAGAAAAGAAACACAAAAAGGAAAGCTGATTTCAATCCGGTAGTAGCATATTCCCCCCCCCAAAAAAAAAAGAAATATTCACATCACATCAATAAATCCTTATCATAAACTAAACAAATCAATTTCAATCGTTTAAATTTCATCAAATGTCAAATGAAATATGTAATATAAAAAATTTCACAAACCCTAAAGAATAAAAAAAGAAATATAAAACCAAAAAAATGAAAGACTAAAATAAAAACGATGTCTAATATATAATTTTTTTGTTAAACATACATCATCGCTTATACAATAAAGTTGGCAATGTGAATACCTAAGCTAACATTTATTTATAAAAGTGTTGTTTAATGTTCTCTCGTGTGTTTTTAGCAACGCTTTTTTTTATTAATAATCACTGGTAAATAGGGTGTTGCTTAAACTCTTTTTTGACATAGTGATAGCGAGGTTGTAACTTATGAATGTTAGAGGACGGGAATAAAGAATAACATATATAACCAAAAATTGCAGATGTGTGTTGGTGGGATTTCATTGATACAAGAGTTGTGTTGGTGACTGATTTTGAAGTGTTTTACTAGAAA